GATAGATAGATAGATAGATAGATAGATAGATAATGAAACAGACTGAGATAGATAGATAGATAGATAGATAGATAGATAGATAGATAGATAATGAACAGACTGAGATAGATAGATAGATAGATAGATAGATAGATAGATAGATAGATAGATAGATAGATAGATAGATGTGCTAATAGATAGATAACCGTTGCAAACATGCAAAAATGTGTGCAAGCAAAGCAAATAAATTATCACCAATTCCTTACTAGTCGCATCTGTTTCCAACTTTCTCATGTCTTCCAAAAATCGCGCCTTCATTTCACTTGGCAGGGTTTCACTATTTTGGGTTGTCAGTCCTGCCAGTTGTCCTTAAAAATGATACGGAGAAAAAAAGAAGAACAACAAAAAAATCTACTTATAAATATGAGGATTATTCCTCCCTCTGGCCATAGCGCATTATGGGGTTGTGTCGAGTGAAAAAAAAAAAGATGGAAAAAGGAAAACGAACTTGAAGCGGGAGTTGATAGAGAAGGAATCATTCTTTTATAATTGGAAAAAATAAAGAAAATAAAAATACCAGAAGGACATACTTTTCAAATATAGATGATCGAGAAAAGACTTGAAAAAGTGGGGGTCTAGTTGATTTGAAATGATGAAAAATGAATAAAAATGGTGATAAAGAAAATAAGACAATGAAGAAATGGAAGTCGAAGGTTAAGAAAGAAAAAATCAAATAAGAAACAGAAAAGGTGATGAAATGAAACGAAATACGTAAAAAAAAACAGAAAAAAGTTGGGAGAAGAAAAAGAAAGAAAGAAAAAAGAATAAAGGAAGAATTAGAAAAAGAAATAAAAAAAAAAAGAAAGAAAGAAAGAAAGAAAGAAAGAAAGAAAGAAAGACAAGAAAAGAAAACAGAATGAAAGAAAAAGGTAAAAGAAAGAATGGAAGAGAAAGCAAGAGCAAAGAATGGAAGAAAGGGGAGGAGGAATGAATAACGGAAAGAAAAGAAATAAAAGAAAAGAAAAAGGAAAAAGAATGAATGAGAGAAGGAAAAAGGAAAAGAACGGACGAATGAAAGAAAGAAAATAAATGAAGAAAGCAAAGGAGAAAAAGAAAAAGAAAGAAAAACAGAAGGAAAGAAAAGAAAAAGAAAGAATGAAAGAAAATAAATGAAAAATAGGAAAGACGAAAAAGAAAGAAAAATGGAATGAAAGAGAAAGAAAGAAAGAAAGAATCGAAAAAGGAAAAAGAAAAATGACAGTAAGAAAAAGGAAAAAAGAATGTAAAAGAAAAAAGGGAAGGAAAATATAGGAAAAAAAGAATGATAGAAATCAAAAGGAAAAGAAAGAAATAATGAAAGAAAGAAAGAAAGAAAGTAGAATATAAAAAAGGAGGAAAAAAGAAATAAAAACGGAATGAAATACAAAGAAACAAAGAAGAATGAAAGAAAATGAATGAAAGACAAAGAAGAAATGAGCGAAAGAAAAGAAAAAGAATAAATAACAATAAAAAAAGAAAGAATGACAAAAAGAAAAAAGAGAAAGAAAGAAAGAAATAAGAAAAGAAATCAGAAAAGAAATGAAAGAGAAAGAAAGGAAGAACGAAAGAAAGAAAAAAAAGAAATCAAAAAAGGAAGAATGAATGGAAGAGAAAGAAAGAAAAAAGAAGGAAATAAATAGAAAAAGAAATCAAAAAAGGAATGAAAGAGAAAGAAAGGAAGAACGAGCGAAAGAAAGAAAGAAAGAAAAAAGAAAGAAAGAAAGAAAGAAAGAAAGAAATCAAAAAAGGAATGGAAGAGAAATAAACGAAGAACGAAAGAATGAAAAAAAGGAAAAGGTTAGAAAAGAAAGAAAGAAAGAAAGAATGAAACAAGTGTGATACAACAACAACAACAACAACAACAATCTGAACGCGTGTTTTGTTTGCGCAACTAAAATCTCGAATGGTGCAGAAAAAAACAGGCCCCTGATTTCTGGTGAGAGTAGAACGGAAAAGGATGAGGTGAAATGTCAAAATTATTTTTTCTCTCGAAATGCGCTAAAAATAAAAGAAAAGAAGGGAAAATAAATAAATAAAACCTTACCACTTCTCACCCCCCCCCGTAAACTTCCCAACCCCCACGCCACCAGCCGCCAATTCCAACTAGTGATATCAGAATTGGCCTTTTTCGCTTGCCAGAAGGGAGTTGGGTAACATACATGAAGCATTCGCTCGACGGTGGGTAGGAAGTGAAGACGACACTACCTTGCTCTCTACCACCACAGACCCGAATTTCTCTTACCCCCAAAGTGATTTGTCTTTAGTTTGCAGAAGTGTCAGCTCCCGTAAGCGAGTCTGTTGCCCGGCAGCCATTTGTAGTCGGGCAGCGTTCGTCCAAAACGTAGCGACAAGACAAGAGTGTTAAGCGGATTCAGTGACTGATCAGACGTGGCGAATTCGCGCGCAGAATTTGTATTTTTGACTCCGTAAAAAGTTTTGCGGGCGCGAAAATGTCAGCCAGTTATCGGAGTCTCCAACTCTACACCCTGTGAAATCTTCTCCTGACACCCATGGCACTCTGCTTCCCGCGTTCAGTGTGGCCGCTTTTACGTTAGCTCGACGATCGACGAATCTGTGGAATCCATGCCAAAACCATCGGAAACGCCTTCGCTGATTGGCTGACTGGGTGTCTTGCCTTGTCAAACATTCGCTTCTGCGTTTTTTTTTTGTTTTTTTTTTTGTTGATTTCTTATTTTTTTCCCTTGTCACTTCCATTTTCGTATACAAAAGCAATTCAGTACGCTTCATGAAACATATTGTTTGCAAGTTTGTATTCGATAATCGAACTTGAGTAAAAACAAAGTTATGAATCGATAATTTCATTACGAATACGTTTTTTTTATCTGCTTCGTGGTTGAAGTGATTGCATATATATCAGCGACTTAGAGGTTCGAGCCCGAAATACAGACAGAATTTTGAATTTGAAAGTAAGAAGAAGCTATTAATTGCTAAAAAAAAAAAAAATGGCCGAATATAATCTTAATAATTTGCCTTGTTTAGTAGATGTATGTATTTTTTTGACGCAATACTCTCTTCTAAAATCCTGCACTCATATATATATATATAAAAGGTTTATGTTTCATGACGTTTCAGATTTTTTTTTATTGTTGTCTTCTTCATATACACAAAATGGAAACTACAAGCAATAGGCAACACAGGAACATTGATAAATGTAACACTGAATGAAAGTGAATTCATTAGAAAAAATAGTTGCAGCACAAAAGAAAACATCCTCCAAATTTGCTTCTAAAATCTGCCAAATCCAAACCCTGTCTCTTCACGCTCCTGTTGGAGGAGACCCGCCCTGATTGACGAAAAGGTGGAGGAAAGAAAACAGAATGCGTAAAAAAAACAGAAAAAGTTGGCAGAAGAAAAAGAAAGAAAGAAGGAAAGAAAGAAGGATTGAAAAAAGAAATAAAAAGAAAACTTTAAAAAAAGGAAAAAGAAAGAAAAATAAAGACAATGAAAGAAAGAAAATAAATGAAAAAAGAAAGAAAAAGGAAAAAGAAAGCAAAATAGAATGAAAGACAAAGAAAGAAAGATAGAAAGAAAGATAGAAGAAAGAATGAAAGAAATAAAAGGAAAGGAATAAAAGAAAGAAATAAAGAAAGAAAGAAAGAAAGAAAATAAATGATAAGGAAAGAAGAAAAAGGAAAAAGCAGGAAAAATTGCAAGAAAAAGAAAATAAATGAAAAAAGAAATAATAAAAAGGAAAAAGAAAAAAATGAAAGAAAGAAAATAAATGAAAAACGAAAGAAGAAAAAGGAAAAAGAAAGAAAATCGAAATGAAAGAGAAAGAAAGAAAGAAAGAGAGAAAGATAGAAAGAAAAGAAAAAGAATAAAAGAAAAAGGAAAAAGAAAGAAAGAAAGAAAATAAATAATAAAAGGAAAGAAGAAAATGAAAAAGAAATAAAGAATGAAAATAGAAAGAACAATATAAAAAAAGAAAAAAGAAAAAGGAAAAAGAAAGAAAAAAAAAGAAATGAAAGACAAAGAAAGACAGAAAGATAGAAAGCATACAAAACAGCATTTGGCGCCAATGTAACAATAACATTACTAAGCAAGTTTCAAGTCATGATAGGAAACATCCACATTTTTCAATGGCAATGGTACCGAATGCAAAATATTTGCATTGTTATGGAAAAGGATTTTGTTTGATTTTATTTTTGAAAGGAAATTGAAGAAAAATGATTAAAAAGAAAATTTTTGAAATTGAAAACACGAGAGCTTCTGCGTTATTTGCCTGCAAATGAAAAGAACAAACCAAAGAAGGAAAATGCAATGGAAGCATAATTGTTGCAAGTAAGGCATAAATCAAACAAGCATTAAGAGTTAAAAATAAAATAAAATTAAAAAAAATGTAAATAAAATAGATCAAGTATCGACCAAATAAAAAAAAAATAAAAAAATTGACAAAAGATTAAAGAAAAATGTCTTAATTAGCTTTTTGGGGTTTTTTTGTTTGTTTGTTTTTTAAATTGGAAAAACCTAAAAACCCAAACTCAAACAAAAAACATTTTTCCAAATGACGATTGAATAGAATTTTATTAAAAGTAAATGGAAAAAGCAAATGTAAAAATAAAAGAAAAAAGTGTGAAAAGACAAAAAGAAAGAGAAAGAAAGAAAGAAAAGATAAGTATTTTATAAAGAAATCGTGTTTTTCAAATTGATTTCGTGCAAAAAGTAATTTTTACGCAAAGAAAGAAAAGGAAAATCAAATAAAACGGAAACACACACACACAATGGAAAATTAAGATTCTCATTTTTTCTTTATTTTTATAAAATGTTTCAAAAAAAAAAATAATTAAAGCAAAAAATAAAATAAAAAGAAAAAACGTAAATTTTCCTTTTTAATTACAAAAAAAGATTTTCTTACCTAAAAATGTTTTTTCAAAATGTTAATTCAAAAAGTACAAAGTTTGAAAGAAAAAAAAAAAGATTTATATTAAATATGAAAGTGGTAACTTTAACAAAGCAAAAAAAGATCTAATCTGTTTGTCTGCACAATTCTTTTTTAATCGTTAAAGAATAAAACCAAAGACAAAATGAAAAGCAATTGGGAAAACCTTAAGGAGGAAATGTAAATCTAGAGCAAAAATAATAAAATTTTTGTTTGAAGTAAAGTTCGATGGCGTTGGTGAAAAAATGGCAAGTGGTATGTTTTATATAAAATAACATTTTACTAAGCAAAATATTTCATTGTAGATATCGGGATTTCATAAAAATTTTTATTTAAATCCACAGAACAATGGCAAAACGGTAGGAATTCAAAAGAATTTGCATTGACATTGCATTTAAATTTTGAGATTAAAGTTGCCCAGAGGATTTTGAAAAAATAAATTTTGATTTTTTCAATTTTGATGGGACTTGACGCCAGGTACTGCGCTTAAATTAAACGGTATTTTTGTTTACCATTGAAGTCAATGGACAGCAAATATCAATTGGATTCTTCTTTGATTTTATCAAAAAAATTGACGAATTTGTGCAAACTCTGTAAATTTCAAGTTTAGAAATCTTTCGAAATAGGCTATATATACAGGTTTTACCATGAAAAACAGCATTTTCCAATGTAACAATAACAACTTGCAATTACTAATTAGAATAAAAATTACTTGAGAGAAACAGCCGCATTTTTGACAATGACGTCTAACGCAAAAACTTTTATAATTTTGAAATTTTTTTGACTAATATATATATAAGATTTTTATGGTATAAAAATTTAACGATACCAAAATTTATATGGCATTTTTAAAAAAGCTAAAAGAGAACAACCAAGAACTTTATCAAGTTTATTTTCTGGGATATAAAAAAATATCTATAAGCGTGAAACGAATGGAAGGGAAAAAATATGAATTTCAAGAAACTAGAGTCCAATAAAAGACCCTCTGTTGACAAAGGAAAGGCCCACGGGACCTGATATACTCTAGAACCTTGAGGTAATATGAGGAAATAAAAATCGAGAAACGGTCCTCACTAAAATCAAACACACAATTTGCTATTTATTATATGCTCATCAATAGCAGAGCCAGAAGTATTGTTAGTTGGCTTTTCCTAGCATCCGGTACAAAATCCTGGGGGTTTGTTTTTATTCTCACACAAACACTAGTCGAGTCTACAACTACACTTATATTTATAAATCACTGAATTAACATGATGGGAGGGGAGGAAAAATATAAGTTCTGTCCGAATTTTAAAAATGAAAATTTTTATTTTATAATGTCTAATGGAGCTGAACATTATTTTTATGTTTAGATGCATTTAAACTGATCAAATTTTATTTCAGAGAACAATAAAATTAAATTTTGTTTGATTAAAACCTGCAGAACATGGAAGTACCCAAGAATCATTTGAGGCAAAATATAATGCTTTATGAGTTCAAGAAAGGAAACTCAGCAGCCGAAGCGACTAGAAAATTCACTCAGTTTATGGAGAGGAATGTGAATGAAAGAACTTGCAGAAGATGATTTGCAAAATTCAGAGGTGGAGATTTTTTGAAATGACCTCCAGTTGAGTTTGATGAAAAGTTTGAAGCAGCCCTTGAAGAAAAAATGAGGAAATGGTTATCAGTTCAAACCATACAAATCGTCATCTTCAACAACTTGGAAAAGTTCCTAAACTTGGAAAATTATTGTCTTCAAATAAGTTGGCTCTTTTCCATTCTCACCAACTTGTTTCACCTTTTTGGACTTGTGACTGGCGTTTTGAAAATGGATTTTTTTATCGAAATGTTAAATGTCGTAGACAGTTTTAGGGAACTTTTTAAAGCGTTTGAACCAAGCTTTATCTAGTGAATCGAAAAGGGGTAAAACAGGACAATACACAACCCACACACAAGAATCACGGCCCAACATCGAAGAACAGAAAATCTCATCCACCTTATTCTCCGATTTTCCTTCAGACTACCAATTTTTACAGAATCATTTAAAACACAGGAAGAGGTTAAATTGAGTTCTTCGAAAATTTTTAAGTAATGAATTAAATAGATTTAGATAATCAGGAAATACATTGTTGATTGAAAATTATATGTAACATTTGGTCGTTTTTTTCTTTTTTTATTCAAAATTCGGATAGAACTTATGGGATAACCTGATATATATATATATATATATATATATATATATATATATATATAAGTATAGGTTTGGTGTATACGGAATAAAAAAATAACAAATACTATTCTTAAAAGGGTGCTCAGTAGAGGAAATATAATTATTTATTCGAAAATTATGACATAAATATGTTATAAAATAACTACAAAAAAGCCATTTTTGTTTCAAAACTTTGGTGTCTTATCCAGTGATATATATATAACAAAACAACATTAAAGAAGGAATTTGGTCTGTAAACTGTAAAAACAAAAGAAATACATTTATATCACGAAACGGACCAATTACAAACACACACACACACACACTCTACACTTCCTCCTGCTTCCTCCCCACACACACACACACACGTTGTTTTCCTTTGTCTCTCTTTTCTCTATTCGACCCGTGAATAATTTTCCAAAAACCAGAAAACCTGATGGGTTTTAATAATCGTTGCTCACGCATACAAGTTAAATAACAGTTGTGCGATGTATAAAATTGAGTTGAGTCTTCTTTTCTCAGGTTCATAAAATATTTTCACCTTTCTTAAGAATTCTACTAAAAACAATTGTGTTATTTAAGAACAGCAATAAAAAAGAAAAACCTTTTTGATTCTGTTGTATTTCTAGAGACATCAGAAATTTAAAATTAAAATTAAAATTTATCATTCTATCGAAAAGTTTTGTTTATATTTTGCCTTTTTCAAATTGATTTCAGTAGAGATAGTCAAGTATCGACCATCAAAAACTGAAAAATAAAAATTGATTATTGTTTTTCAATTTTGAATTAGTTTTATTTTTTAATTTTTTTTTTTTGAATTGGTCAAACCCGCAAAAACATTGTTCTGAATGTAAAAATAAAGAAAAGTGTGCAAGACAATAAGAAACAATATTGCCAAAAAAGTAGTTTTGTTGAAATCGGTTGAAAAATGTAAAGGAAACCGATCCTATATATGAATAAGTATTTATGAGTTGTCTCCCTTTCATTCTGGTGACAGTGATGTGTTTTCAAATCGATTTCGTGCAAAAACAATTGTGTTTTTTCAATTTTTGGCAGTTCAGAAAAAATCCTATGAAGTTTTGTTGTAGGAAATCCGATCCAATATATAAACGAACACACACACACACACACACACACACACACACACACACACACACACACACACACACAACCTGGGTTTTATAAGTATGACTCCATTAAAAAAAATATTTTAATCTGATGAAGTCTTTTTGAAAGACGAAACCCGTTATATTTTTTTTTTCCCCTATTTCGTCATTCAATTAACATTATCTTTTTCTCAATTTTTTTTTCGGAATATTGAATAATTCTGATCGGAAAAACAATATATCGATCTCTTCGAAACCGCCAATATAATTTCAGTCATTTATGTTCCATGCGTGATACTTAAGCGATCATGTATCTTTCGATACATGACTGACGAGGCATTTTTTTTTCCCGCGGTAGGTTGTCATTTCTTTCAGCGGTAGACTAGTTGCTATCCAAAACTATAGCACTCGGTTTGTCTTGCTATTTACCTATAGTCGGAGTGGGGAAGAAGACGATTCATACCTTTCCCAAGGTATTAACACGTAAGTGAATGTAATGGATTCGACTGGAATTTGAACTCGGCTCTCCGATTCCTCAATCCGAGCCACTATCCATTACTCCTATAATGTACATTATAATGTACATACTCATAACGCCTATATCTGTCAGCGTCATATAATAACGGCATACCATAATTTGGGCGCCTGCATTTTATCATGATTAAAAATAGAAGTACCTAGATTTGGGACATTTTCACATTAAATAGCGTAACGGAATCACAATTTTCGATTGTGGGCAGATTGAAATTGATATGAATTGACTGCGATAGATGTATAGATAGACAAACAGACATAGATAGATAGATAGATAGATAGATAGATAATCAGACAGACAGATAGTTTCTTGCTTTCCTGTTAACTACGATCTTCATAAATTTTAACACAATGTCAATCGTTGTCATCTGTCTTTTTCGAAACTTTTTCAATTGTCATCCTTTTCTATATAATAACGTTTTCTCAGTTTCTTTCACTCTTAGTAACCTCTTTTGTCTTAGTCGCTTTATCACCTTCCCTTAGGGGGGAAACGATAGAGAGATAGATAGATAGATAGATAGATAGATAGATAGATAGATAGATAGATATAAACATACTTATATATATATATATATATATATATATATATATATATACAGAGAGAGAGAGAGAGAAATAGATAGATAGATAGATAGATATGAACATACTGAGATAGATACATATATATATATATAGATAGATATGAACAGACTGATGTATATATATATATATATATATATGAAGAGAGTGAGATAGATAGATAGATAGATAGATAGATTCAGAAGGAGAAATACGAGAAGTGAGATTCAAAATGATCTATGAAGAGAAGACACTTTTTTTCTTGTATTGACTGATTTGTTGTTTTTTTTACGGCTTATCAACCTGTTGTAGGTTATTTAAAGCCGAAACATTTTTTTTTGTATTGTAAGAAAAATTCCTCCTTTCATTTTGCTAGTAAATATTGTATTAACAGTTTTCTTGGAGATAATAATGTTTCTCAAATAAAAGTCTTACTATTTAACCCTTAGCTTGGTGACATGTGGTTTCCTAAGGACATCTGCGCGTAAGTGAATCCGACTGGAATTCGAAATCGTCTCTCTGATTTCTCATACTGAGCCGTTATCCACTATTCACCATCCGCACATCCAAACTTACAGCACCTGGTATTCCGAAGCTGTCACCCATCTAGTTACTGACCAGGCTCGTCGTTGCTTAATTTCGATGATCGGTCAAGAACCGGTGTTAGAATTTTTACTTGCATATACGTATTTATGTTCATTGTCTAACCTTGTATTCAGGCTATTATTTAGTTCCATCTTGGAACCTGCCATCAAATGAATATCACACGCGAAATCATGTAACGTATTTAATTTAAAATAAATAAAAAAAAATAGTCATTCATATATATGGCATTTGGTTACCTGGAAATTCAAAGAGTCAAATATTTATGTTGGTCTTTGAAGCTTATCGCTAATAATAAAAACAAACAAAAGACAGAATCAGCACATTTGTTCTTTTGATATAGCAAGGACTCTATCTACGATATGCGCATGCGCGCGCGCAGACTCATTCGTATTGATATCTTCTTTTAGCTTTTACTTTTCCCTATCCATTCTTATTCTCCACCTTCCATTCACTTTACTTGATAGCATTTCTTTTTACTCAGTAACCAAGAGACGTAGACAAAGAAAAGAATTCTGCTACAAAAGAATCATTCTCTCTTCCTTTTCACACGGGATTCCCAATCTCGCCTTCTCTTCCGCAACAAATAAATAAATGGATAAAAACGAAAAAAAAAAAAAAAAAAAAAATTCAAGTGGTAAAGATGACGCGAAAAAGTCGAACTAGTGCCGAAGCAACGATGATGAATGTGATGCCCTTGACGGACAGCAAAAAAAAAGCAAAAAAAAAAAAAAGCAAAGAAAACCCTTCGTAGAGCTTGATTGAAACGCGTGTATTAGAAGAAACACAAAATGAAAGAGCAGCCCCCCCCCCCAGCGATAGTGTCGAAGTGCTTTCTCGAGTTTGGGTTCAATGCTCTTCTCAATATTGTCAGCGAGCACGAGAAATTCGAATATATATATATATATATATATATATATATATATATATATATATATATATATATATTTATATGTATATATATATATATATATGTATGTATATATATGTATATATATATATATATATATATATATATATATATATATATATATATATATATATATATATATATATATATATGTATATATATATATATGTATATATATATATATATATATATATATATATATATATATGTATATATTATATATGTATATATGTATGTATATATATGTATACATATGTATATATATATATATGTATGTATATAGATATGTATATATGTATGTATGTATATATGTATATATGTGTGTATATATATATATATATGTATATATCTATGTATATATATATATGTACATATATATGTGTGTATATATATATATATATATATATATATATATATATATATAAGTTGTGAAAATGCAACTCACCAAACAGTGTTGTTTCCAATACCATCACTGTTTATATATATTTAGTTGGATTGATGTGAGTTTGTGCACACACGTACACGCACACACGCACATACACATACACACACACACACACACACACACACACATATATATATATATATATATATATATGTATGCATAGAGAGAGAGAGAGAGAGAGAGAGAGAGAGAGAGAGAGTGTGTACATAGAAGGTTAATGGTCTGTGTTGAATTAGATCGGGAAACAATAATATTAAAAAGTGCTCAATACAAGTGTGAAAAAAAAACAAAAGTAAAAATATCATATAGAGCTTTTAACTTTAAAATCATTAGATCAGCTGAATCCGCTAGTTTGGTTTCAACCTTACGATATCCACAGGTGATTTTTATCAAATAAATTCTTTTTTTCACCTAACGCTTTTTTTTTTTTTTAAAATAATATTGTAGCGTTGATTAGTGTAAAAAGTAGTTGTCATTTGATAAATATCGCCCATGGATACCGTTAGGTTGAAACCACAGCATCGGATTCAACTGACTTCCTAATTTTTAAAGTCATATATATATATATATATATATATATATATATATATATATATATATATATATATATATATATATATAAATATATATATATTTATTGTTAAATATAACAGACAATGAGCCGTTTGATCACGAGCCGTTCTAAGTTTTAGTATTGTTGATTTAATTTCGGGTGAAAATAAAGTCAAAAACTGTCGAACATTTGTATATTTTTTATTATGCTGTTTCTTGATCTAAGCTTTCGGTTCACACGAAATTAAAGCAACCATCCGAAGTTTAGAAAGGCTCATGATCAAATATAATAGATATTATTGTCTCTTATATTTAACAATATATGTTTGATAATGATCTGCTGCGCTAATACATTAAAATATATATATATATATATATATATATATATATATATATATATATATATATATATATATATAATGAGAAGCCACGTATACTTTCTTAATATGTATATATAGAAAAAATAACTGTAATAATATTTTAGATGTTGTTTAAAAAAAAAATTAACTATATCTAAAAAAATGTTTAACTATTGAAATATTTATAAAGATTTAAAATACCCAAGTCATTATTTAACCCTAGTTCATATGTATTTAATTTTAAAATCTAGTATTTTCTTTTTTTCTGCCTGAGTATGTAGAACTGAAATCAGAATCACACGCAGAAAAAAAGAAAAATACTGGATT